CCTCAGGGAATCTCTGACTTCAGTTTGAGTGTTCAGTGAAGCCTTATGTAAAAAGGGCTCAATCTCTAAAGTGTACATCGAAGCTGAATACACCCAGCATCAAATTATTTCCAAAAAGCCTCTTTAAATCGAAACCTCCCATAAAGATGGTGAAGTTCTGTATTGTGATATAGTTAGCATGGGTGGCTTTTCCTTCAGCACTGCGACAGATTGCTGCTGTTTCTGCTGAGCCCCAGTTGAAGATCTTGAGTTTAAAGCACCAAGTTGTAAAACAGTTACACACACACACACACACACACACACCCCACAGAGCACCCTGCCTCTAAAGACAAGAATGACAAGAGAAAAACCTCAAAGAAAGGAATCCACAGAGTTGCTCTGAGACTCACATGGCCCCACTGGGCACGGACACACTGAGTGGGTACATGGGCCGAGGTGTCTGTGTTTTCGCCATTGTACACCATGGTGTCTCCCACTCTGGGACGGACGCATACACAGCGACTGTGAAAGCTAAATGTGTACAGTCCTAAATCAAGATCAGTTGTGTGGAGGAGAGGATAATTGTAAACTTCTTTATTTGTTGGCTGTAAGTATTTGAATAAGAATATTAGAATGCCCAACATTTTCAGCAACCTGATGTGTAAGATGTCTTCCAGCTTGTCAATAAGAAAGTCCATGATAACAATGACTGTGGAAGAAAGGGGGAGAATGATGAAGGACTCAGCTTCCTGTGCACGTGTGGTGTGCCAGGTGCGGATATGTGAGCTTTCCATTTCTTACTTCACGTACATCTCACCACAATGCTGTCATGTAATCGATTACTGGCCCCATTTTACAGACAAGAAAAATGAGATGCAGAGACATGAAGCCACCCATCCCACAGCGCACAGCAAGGGCATGGTGAAGGCAGAATTTACAGGTGGGCTTTCTGGTTCCAGGACCTATGCTTTTAATAACTCCACTAAAACAAACGTCGTGATGATAGCATCGTTTGCAGGAAGCATATCCTGATAATAAAGACAACAAAGGGGGGGCGTAGAGTAAGAAATAAAAATGAAATTGTCAGACCCTCAACTCTGCTAAGAAACCTATATAAATAGAAAGCTTTGCGAAGCCTGCTCCCACATTTATTGCAGCTGTTATGGCCTAGAGAATGCTTCCTGCTGCATTATTTTCTATATAAATGATGCTTAAGAGTTTGAGTTTTTCGCCCTTTTGGAAATATAATTAAAGCTGTGGACCCTATCCAGAGGAAAAAAATAAACACAATCACAACATTTCAGAAAAAAAAAAAAATTAAGAGAAAGTTGATGCCGTAATGCTTATCAGTGAACTGCAGGAATCTCAGCCTACAGGGTAATTATTTCTGCTCTAAAACTATTCATGATATTTTTCTTTCAGACCTCAATGGCAGGAACACCTTCATGGTCCCTTTATAGCTGGTGTTTTCTTCTCATGGACAATGAGAAACATGTAACAAATTGTGTTTCCTTTTTGCCAGGAAGCTCTGAGTTAAAGCTTTGCTTCCCTCTCAGGAACTATCAAAGAGGCATAAGCCGTACACCCTGGCCCAACATTTTTCTTGGATTTGATTCCCTTTTGATTGTTTTAGCTTTATTTTACATTTGTTACATCTATTTCTCTGTGCTGTCTTATGTATCATCAAATGCTATTTCAGATGTCAACCATGAACTAAAGTGCATCTTGGAATTATTAGAGAAACAGAGGGATATAATTATATAAAGTAACAAATACAAATGCAATGCTGATTTTTTTTTTCCTTAAGAAGTTTTTAACAATTGCTTGGGAGGAATCTGCTTTTCACTGAAGTTTCAATGTTTTCAGGTCCTTTAATACCAGGTGTGAAACTTACTCACTGGGTTGAATTATAGAAAGTTTTACCACTGTCCTCTGCCTCATTTATTCTCACTGTAAATATGAGAATTAAAAGTCTTCCTTATTCTTGCTTTCTGAAGGATTCTATACAAACAGTTGAGGTGCTATTTAGTAAACTACTAGAAACATGGGGAAGTGAGCTAAGGAGATATGAACTATGAAATGATCCGTTTAAAGGAAATACATGGGAAAATCAGGTCTATGTTTCTGACAAGTCAAATGTATAATATACACATATCTACATACACAAATGCGTATACATATGTGTGTGTGTGTGTGTGTCTGGCCTTTCTCATCACCTCTATTATCACACTCATTCTAGTCCATATGAAGGAATCATTTCCTGTTCTCTCCACCATGGCCACCTGGTCCAAGCCACCATCTGCATGCACCTGGATGCCTGCATAATCTCAGCTGACATTTCCCATGTCTATTCTTGTTTCTTTTGAGCCCAGTCTCCTCGCTCACAGCAGCAGAGTGAGTCTATTAAAAAGTGAAACAGGGGGCAGCAGCAAAGAGAAAACAAAACACACAAGCAAAAAAAAAAGTGAAACAATGTCTCTCATTTCTTGGCTCAAAACTCTCCAATAGTTTCCTGATGGTTTAGAATAAAATGTAAGTTCTTGCCATGGGGTACCACGTAGGTTTAGGTTCAGCTGTAAGTCACAGGGGGAAAAAAATATATATATATACACACACACACACACACACACACACGCCTTAAAAAAATACAAATTAATTTCTCTCTTGTGCTCACAAAGTCCAGAAGCCATCAACCAATGCTGAGTCAGCACAGCTGCAGTGGAGACCCAGGCTTCATTTCTCTTTCTGTCCACTGTGCAGCTTCCATTTCCAGGGAGCACCTCGTGGTCCGAAATGGCTGCTAGCGTTCCTGTTGTTACTAATGGTTCATTCTTCATCCACAACATAGGTACAAAGAAAGTCAACTTTCTCCACTGAACTTCGCTTCCTGGAATTTATAGGTACCACCCCCTTTTTAATATTAAATCTTAGAACCTAGCTGTGCCAGGTGGTGGGCGCCTGTAATCCCAGCTACTTGGGAGGCTGAGGCAGGAGAATCGCTTGAGTCCAGAAGATGGAGGTTGCAGGAAGCCAAGATTGCACCACTGCACTCCAGCCTGGTTGACAGCGAAAGATTCCATCTTAAATAAATAAATAAACCTTAGAAGCTGGTCACAGAGCCACACCCTGCTGCAGAAGAGGCTGGCAAAGGCAGTCCTTATTCTGGGTGATCAAGTGCCCAGGTAAACATCAGGAGTTTTGCTCCGAGGAAGAGACGGGAGAGTGGGTACTCAGGCCAGCTCCAACCTGGGACATGCGTGGCCTGCCTGGACCACATGGGCAGGACTCTGCCCACCTCCCTGATGCATCCCCCACCCCTTTCCCACCCTCACTCTGCTCCAGCCACATGGCTGTCTCACCTCTGTTCTTCCTTCCGAGCACCCAGCTAATTCCAGCCTCTGGGCTAGCTGTTCCCTTGCCCGGACAGCTCCTCCCCAAATATTTTCTGGCCTCTTCCCTCACTTCACTCAAGTGTCTGCTCCCAAGTAAGCTTCCTGGGGGAGATTTCTCTGCTCACTCCATCACCAGTAGTCCCTGTCACTCTGTCTCCTTATCCAGCTTTATTCTGCACCCTGACACTGGATATCTGTTCTGACATTTCAAAAAGGAAAAAAAAAAAGAGAAGATATCTGCTACCACACCCTCATCTCTGCCTCACTGGAAGCCTTGAAAGAAAATGGCAGTATTTAAAAAACACTATATATAAAAGTTCAACCTGGCTCCTGAGGGAACCTGAAAACTCAAAGAGAGTGGATAACCCAGAATTTCAGACTGCAGATGACCTTTGGAAAGCAAAAACTTTTTTTTTTTCTCGCTGAAAATTGGCAGTATATCCTTCCTAGCGATTTTCCAGCTGAGCTGAAGGAGCTTTAGGCAGGAGGCAGCTGGAGAAAACGTGCTTAGAAGATCTGTGTGTACGTGGGCTAGGGTAGAGCTCTCCGAGTTGAGAGCAGAGACCTGAGAAGGCCCTGGACTGCAAGATAAGTTTAACCAAAAGGCGATCTCGCTGCTGCGCTCAGAGCCCAGCCTTGCGCACCGTTAGCTCAGGCACGTGCGGGCAGCAGGCAAATGACATTCTCCTAGCGCTCTGGCCCTCAGGTGCCCTGGAGCCCTGAACAGAGGCGCAGCCGCCTTCCCAGCCTTAGGTGAGACTTCGCACGCTATCCACTCAACCACGCGTGGTACCAGTAACCAGCGCAGAAGGGCGCGTGGGTCGCTTTTCCGGACCTGGAAGCCTCCTCCTCTGCTACTCATGTGGGTCCGCTTGATTCTCCCCGGGCCCCACGTGTGCATGATGATAACGGCGCTGGTTAACAGCTGCTAAGCTTTTCGTGTGCTTCAGGCGCTGTGCTCTGTGCCTAAGGCACCCACTAAATTCCCTCTGAGATGGAGAAATCCCCGCTGCAGAGATGCGGGAGTGGGGTGAAAGGCCTTCTGGAGAGCCCAGGTCTGTTCTACACTCTTGTACCCACACCCCAGAGGCCTCCCAACCTCTCCTAGCCATCCTGAAACCACATCGGACTGGATCTCAGGTATCTGTCGAGAGGATCCCACATTTCTGCCAACCTGGGGTGCCCTGCGAGCTTCGCTGTGAACACCTGCTCCCTCGTGGGCACAGCCTGGCTCTCAGGACCACTTGGTGGAAGGGAAACAGGTGCAGAGGGACCCGCCCCTCGCTGGGATCTTCCCAATCTTAGTTTAACTGAACTGGAGTGAGGGAGGCATGGAGCTCCACGGTTGGGAAAAAGGAGTGCAAAGAACCGGGCTCCCCATTCTCACAGTCCCGCCAAGTCCTGGGGAGGGAGAAAGCGAGGGACAGGACCCCTCCGCCACCTCCCCCTGACGCTGCATCTGCACGTGGTCCACGGGAGGTCCAGGTAGGAGATACCGTCCGCCGAGCCTCACGGGGTCCGCCTTTCCAGCGCCCCCGCCGATCCCCGAATAAACCCCGCGTTCAGCGTGTCCCCTCACCCCGCACCCAGAGAGGCCGCTCCGCAGACGCCCTCTCCGCTCGGCCTCACCTGTGCCGGGGAAGGCGCAAAGCACCGGGCCCAGCGCGCCGCACCTGCCGGGGCCGTGTCCTCCCAGAGCGTAGGGTCCCTGGCGCCCGCGGCCGTTGGTGCCAGGCGGGCTGCGTCCCCTCGGGTCCTCTTCGTCGCCGCTCCAGCTCCCGTGGCCGCCCGCGCTGGAGACCTCACAACTTTTCTGAACTGCCGCCTCCAGCTTCCGTTGTTCCCGGGCTCCAGGACGGTCCCCTGCGCGCCACCATCTGCACCGTCGCCGCCCGGATCCGGAGCCCGAGACCGGCCTGGGCGCAGGAGGAGAGAGCGCGGGCGGCGGGGAGGGGAAACCGAGCCGCGGCTGCTGCTGGCGGGCCCGGGGACAGAGAGGAGATGGGGCCGTCAACCGGGGCTGGAACCTTGCCTGTCTGCTTGGACCGGCTCCTCTGGCGCGGAAACTCGGCCTTCGCAGACTCTCGCAGACCTGGAGACTTTGGCCGGGAACCCGGGACGCCGAGAGGGGCCCAGCCCTTCCCCACCTCCCTCCTGGCCGCTGCTCCGGGCGGGTGGTCAGCGCTCCTCTTCCTCTCTAAACGGCGGGTCACATTTGCGGATGCCAGGGGAGCTCGCGCTTTCGGAAATTAAAAATCCCATCCAGTGGATTCGGAACCGCCTTCCAGACACACGGAGAGGGGAAAAAAAAGCAGCGTGCACGACCGTGGGAACCAGGGGATGTACACGTATTTATATAAACGGACGTGTACCTGCGTTTATAAATGTGCAGGGGAAGACTCGAACATGCGAAAACACACCAGAAACTAATCACGGAAGAAGGGGTAATCGTTCACTGTTTACCATTATTTACTCGTTGAATTTTTAACACAGTAAGGCTGTGCTAACGATTTAGGTGGAAGAGCCCCCCTTTTCCCCGCAGAACTGTTCCCGCAATGGCAGGTTTTTAAGTTGGCTTGGTTTGGGCTTTGCACAAAGGAGTAGGAGAAATCCAAACCTTCCGTCTTCCCCCAGCCTTTCCCGCTGATTTGCACCCAGTGCGCTATCTCTTCTTTCATGGAAGTTGCCTCTGCCACGGCCCAACCAGATTATTTCTGTTCTGACCTGATCTGCAGGGAATGGGACTCAACCTGGCCGCTCTCCTGACCCTGCCTCTATTGAATGAACAGCACTCAGACACCAGCCTCATCCCCCACCCCCACCCCAAAACCCAGGGCAGCACCCTCTGTGTCTGCTACCCCTGGAGGCAGGCCCCAGTCCCCCACACACCTAGGGCTGACTCAGTGCAACCTCAGAAAAGAAGCCTGATTGCTAGCCAAGGGTCACAGCAGTCTCCTTCATTGTAGCACCCTAGGGAGCCCTGAGCCTGAAACAGAAGGAAAAAATCCTGTGATTAAATGACAGTGAAAGCCATAGATGTTAGCAATGAAGAATCAATCTTTGTCTCCAAATTTGGGCACAGGAAAATAACCCTCAACAGGGCTAAGAGAAGAGAGGTGGGCTTGGACAACCCTCTCATCCTGGGAGTGTGCCCCTGATACAGCTCATTGGAGAGTTCTAGTCCCAGGCTGGGCTTGACACCAGCCCACTGGTTTTCTTAGTTCCATTTGCCTGCACTGGGGAGAATGCAGCTGTGATAACATCTCAGCCAGGCCAAGGTGAGTTAGGAATAGCACTGACTAGTCCCAAATGGAAAAACCCAAACAACAGCTGAAACAAGAACTACGCAAAGAAACTCAGGATAACTGAAAACCCCAAAGAGGGAGCAAAAACAGCCAAAACCCCAGTCAAGGTGACAGATCCATGACTCTTCTGGGCAAACTCAATTAAGGGAGAAAGAGGGCATTAATGAGGGAGTCCCTAAAATCCCCTCTGCACTGGTCTGATCTCACACTGCTAATGAAGGCATTTTTGAAGCTGGGTAATATACAAAGAAAAGCTGTTCAATGGATTGCACAGTTTTACTTGGCTGGAAGGCCTCACAGTCATGGTGAAAGGCAAAGAGAAGTAAAGCCATGTCTTACATGGCGGTAGGCAAGAGTGTGTGTGCAGGGGAATGGCTCTTTATAAAACCATCAGATCTTGTGAGACTTATTCACTACCATGAGAACAGTGTGGGGAAACCGCCCCTATGATTCAATTATGTCCATCTGGCCCCGCCCTTGACATGTGGGGATTATTACAATTCAAGGTGAGATTTCGGTGGGAACACAGCCAAACCATATCATCCTCTTTTTCTCGAACATCTAATGATTGTTCAACTCCCTAATTAAAGAAACACCCATTAAATCGGAATGCTAGGTGGTCCCAGGAGAAGTGGGAAAATGCGAAGCAGCAATTTCAGGTAACTGTAGGAAAGGAGCTGTTAGAAGTAGCGACAAGGACAAAGACAAGCCTGGGCTGATAAGACCCCAACAAACAGGGTGGGGGCCAAAGCTGGTTGAGACCAGCTGGATCTGACATGGTAATGGACTTGAACTTGACTTACGCCCTACCCTAGACCTAACTGTACACTCATTACCATCCAAAATTGCAGGCCCACCCGCACCATGACATATTTAGTATAAAAATGGGTGGTACACCAATTCTAAGAAGTCTCTACTTTTTTTTAGAAAAATCTCATGATTATTCTATCCCCTAATTAGAAGAGCCCATAAATTATGAACCCAAACTCTGCTGTGCTCTTCTCACTCTCCCGAGCATGCCTGCACTTCTCTTACATGTGTACTTTGTTTTACAGTAAAAGGTTCTTGCCTTTTGCTTTGCTCTGATTTACCCTCAAATTCTTTCTCGCTGTGATGTCAAGAACCTGGACACTGCTGGGGCTAGGGTCTCACTGGCATCCAGAGACCCTCCTGAGCCCTCTGGCAACAAAAGGGTTGTTGCAAAATGTGGGTTTCGATAGGTCTGCATAGAAAAAAAAAATACTGCTGAGAATTTCCCAAGTCTCCTTTGATTTGTGTAGCCTAGACATGACCTTGGGAAGTAGTTGCAGTTATAAAGCAGATGCAGACTGCCTGGTCTTCCTAAAGCAGCAGAGATATGTCATTTTCTCTCTTTCCTTCCCTCCCTTTCTCTGACACAGGCACACACACACACACACACACACACACACACACACACTCATTCACTTAAATGTTGCTCTCCTCCTCAGTCCACTGAGAAATAAAACATAGCCCATTATTTCCAACTGATGGATTAGGACCTCATTCACCCTTCCTTCCTCCTAGAAGAGAATATGAACAACGAAGCTGTAAAGCTGTGCCCAGAGTCCCCAGCTCTCCCTCCTCTGTGTTTACTTGCCGATTGTCACTTGATCTGAGTCAAAAGACCGAGAAGCAATACTAGCCGATTATGTCTCTCTTGTGTCACCCTGCCCGGCCCCCATGTGAGTTCCCTAGAGTGTGACTAAATGGAGCAGTGCTTCCCGTCTCTCCAGTGGGGCAGAGCACGGTGTGCGTCACAGGAACATGTGTGGCATGAATGACTCCTGGGAAGCCACACAGTGGTAGCCTCATTTAAACAGTGGAGGGACCGAGAGGCAGACATGTCAAATTAAAGTCACCTACCTTCCAATAGACCTGCAGATGCTCTTCTAGGCATAATACTTGGAATAACTTATTCAATCCTTATGAAAACCCTCAAAGTATGTACTCTCATAGTATCAATTTTGCACACAAGAAAATAAATGCTTAAAACAAATGCTTAAAGAAGTCCAGTTACTTACTTGCTCAGGGTCACACAGCTGGTAGGTGTTGAAGCCAAGACTCCAACTCAGATAGTCCAGTGTTAGAACGCACATTTACTAGACAATGTATTTATTTATTTGTTTGTTTATTTAACTTACTTATTTGAGATGAGGCCTCAGTGTCTCCCAGGCTGGAGAACAGTGGCATAGTCATAGCTCACTGAAGCCTTGATCTCCTGGGCTCAAGCGATCCTCCCATCTCACACTCTTCAAAGTAGCAGGAACTACAAGTGGGCACCACCACGCTTAGCTACTTTTTTATTTTTAGCAGAGATGAGGTCTCACTATGTTGTCCAGGCTGGACAATTTTTTTCCCTCAGTTTTATTGAGGTAAAATTGAAAAATAAAAATTGTATATATTTATGGTTTACAGCGGGATGTTTTGATAGAGGTATACATTGTGAAATGATTACCACAATCAAGGCAATTATCATATCCATCTCCTCACCCGATTACCATTGGGAAGGGCTTTGGACACATTTAAGATCTATTATCTTAGCAGATTCTACCTACACAGTACACAATTGTTAAGGATAGTCACCATGATATCTAACAGAGCTCCAGAGACTTGTACCCTTTGACCCACATCCCCTGTGACCTCTGCCCCAGTGGGCAGCTTGGAGCTCAGGTATTCCCAGAAGTTGGTTCCAGCTGGACCACAGGACACATCACTGGTCTCTGCTGACTCCCACTTGCTAGCACATTTGTGTCAAGTTTCACTTGCTTCAATTTTTTATGTAAACAAAGACAATTTTTTTTTTTTTGTAGCTTTTACTTAACAATACAGAAAAGCCCCTATATCCCTGTGCTGTTCTGGGGTCAATCCTTTCCAGTAAACCAGCCTCTGTAGGAATTGATTTTCCATGAAGGATAGCAGGAGCCCAGCTTCCCCAGGTAAGGCGCAGCTGCCTTTTACCTTATGAGATCAACTTTAAGATAGATGCCCAAATACCCATTCTTATCACTTATCCCAGCTCCATCCTGGTCTCTTCATGAACAATCAGGCAATCATCATCAGTATCATTTCTTAGCCCATTCTCTCAGTTTCAAGGTCAGCAAATTGTCTATTTAGATGCACTGTGGCTTAATATGGCATAATAAAGATTTGTATTAGATTACAAGTAGAATGAACTCAACTTATGTTACAAAGAGAATTCATTCACCACACTGATAGTCCTTTTATTCAAGTTGTTTACTTAACCATAATAGCTAGCACTAGTATAAGTGCTTACAATGAACGCTATTTCAAGTGTTTTTTACATGTATGAACTCATTTATTATTATTATTTTATTTTTATTTATTTGTTTATTTTTGAGACGGAGTCTCACTTTGTCGCCCAGGCTAGAGTGCAATGGCACAATCTTGGCCTACTACAATGTCAGTCTCCTGGATTCAAGCAAATTTCTGGCCTCATCTCCCGAGTACCTGGGATTACAGGTATGCACCACCACACCAAACTAATTTTTGTATTTTTAGTAGAGACGGGGTTTCACCATGTTGGCCAGGCTGAACTTGGTTTCACCATGTTGGTCAGGTCTTGAACTCCTGACCTCAAGTGATGCACCCACCTTGGCCTCCCAATGTGCTGGGATTACAGGCATGAGCCACTGTTCCTTGCCAACTCATTTATTATTTGCAACAAACTTATGGAGTTACTATGTTTTCTATTTTCTTTAAAGATAAGGAAATTGAGGCATAGAGGATTCAAACAAATTATCTACAAATAAGTTCCAAGATGTTGCCAAAATTGCCTCTGCTGAAAGCCATTAAGTTAGACCTACCACTCTGTTCTGCATTCTAGGAGTAATCTCTGTTAGAAAACATTGAG